TTTTTTCTTATAGATTTTTTAATACTTTTTTTGCATCAGTATGCAAATGAGGGAAATACACTTCATTATTTGCAGTGAGAAATGGGGGGAATAAAAATGTATACATATTTGTAGTTTTTAAAAAATAAATGGTAAACATGAGCATTTTTTGACAAAAATTATGAAAAATTAAGCATTAATTTACTTGACATTTTATAAAATTAATATTTATTTTTATGTATTATTTTGGTACATTTTCTTACCAATGAATGCAGAAAGGTTTTCTGTAATATTTTCATCTATAAATATTATATAATAAATATAAAATTAATCGTTTTTTGTTGTCTTAAAAACGTCTTCTCACAAACACTATGTTTCATAACGTGAGCACATTTTTATAATTATCATTAAATATCGTGAATATTTGTTTTTGGGAGTTCCTAGTCTGGCCTGTCACCTTGACAACATTGGCCCAATGACAGCGCACACGCGAACTAGGCCAGCCAATCACAGGCATCCGGCAAAGCTGCATGTCATTTCTGCCCCGCTTGCAACCTGCGCTGTGTTTTTGTTTGTCTGTCTGCACACCAGCGAAGAAATCACAGAGTCTGCTGCTGCTAGCGCGGAACGAAAACCCAGGAACTCTCTTTTCTCTCACTTTCCGCCCATGAGGACTCCGGTAACCGCAGAGGACGCACGGAGCAGGACCGAAAGGGAGCACGGCCGGGGCAGTGGAGTCAGGTGCTGCTGCTGGATGAGAGTCTGACTAGGCATTTTCTCCCCGGTGACAGCGACAATCTCAGCGGCGCATCTTCCCGGATAGGCGCTCCTCCTCCCCTCCCCTCCCTTCTCCTCTCCTCTCCTCTCCTGCAGCTCACTGACCATGGCTCTGGTGACACTGCAGCGCTCTCCCACCCCCAGTGCAGCATCGTCGGCTAGCACGACCAACAGCAGTGCGGGGGAGGTGAGTGGAAATGCCGGGGGGCTGGGTCTTTGTGTGTGTGAGGGGGAAGACGCCAAGAATGCGCCCACGGGAGTGTGTAAAACATAGGTTGGGTGGCGTTTGCGTTTGATATCCTGCAGGAAAGGGTTAACCTGGTTTCCGTCATAGTGCGTGTGTCCAAATGTGTGCGCTTGTGTGCTGCAAACTTGATATATTGTTACAACAGGGAGTTGTTTGTGGCTACTGTGGCAGGGGATTTGTAAACAAAAATCCTGCAGAGGGGGAGGGGACGGAGGGGGGCTGTCGGATTTAGCTGTCAAGACACAAAGTGCTCGTTTTGCTGCTGCACAAACATTCGCAGGTCTCGGTGTTGCCGAGGTTTTTATTTGCGAGTCGTGCGGTCACCAATTTGGGAAGGAGGTCCTTAAATGTGGGGAGAGCGAGCCAAGTGTTTTTGCGAACTTCTAGAAATTTCAGAATAGCTCAGATCCATAACTGCACCGTGAAAATGCGCTTGGCCTTCACCGAGACGTCAAATCCCGCGCAGCACCACGCAGACAAACCGATAAGCTCCGTGCTCCTTGTTTCCAAGTTACATAGCAGGAAGAAGGGTTGTTGGTTCTAGTCGGGTTGCGTGGAGAAGTGATGCTGACTTAGTGGAGTTGGAGGCATTAAACCTCCACCTGTGAAAGCAGGGGCGTCGGTTAGAGATGGAGCACTGTTGGACGTTTTTATCCACGTGAAATCCTAACATCTGTGCTCGTGCGCCACTTTCTGGGTTTTCAGGAAAGTGGATTATGCGCTCAGAAGTAGGCTGAGGCACAAAAATAAGCAGTGACAAGCCTTGCTTTGAAGATAGGTGGGTGCTTCATCTCACCATCACTATTCTGCTAGAGTCAGCCGGCAGGAAGGAGAAGTGTGTGTGTGTGTGTGTGTGTGTGTGTGATGTCTGAATTAGTTTTTCGTTTTTTATTCCTGAAATTTGAAGGTGTCCTAAGGATTGAGCTGTCAGCTCTTTGCAACTTCATAACAGATTAGTTCACCAGGCTGCAGAGAGATGGCCAGCAGGTGGCGCAGGCATTCTTTCGTCCATCTCTGCAAGGTCCTTGAGACGTTCAACTTATTTAAGAGCAACTGCAGCCAAAAATTCAGAAATTTCGAACAAAAAATGTAAAATCCTCTCAGTTGTAGTTGTGTGATATGTTTAGCAGGATACTCAAGCGTGTGGTCCATGTGTGTTTGGTGCCTGCATTTCTATTAATGTGAAGCACTCTTAACTTTATCCTTGTTATGAAATAGTTCTGTTCCTTTCCCACTGTTCCACTGTTCATGATCATCACAGTTTTTATTTTTTTTAGTATAAATATATTGTATGCTGTTTCAGATTCGCTCTTTTTACTTGTCTTTCAGGATTTCGGAAGCGATGATGAGAGGAAAAATAATCAGAGGTAAGACACTTTTTTTTAGGTTTTTTTTAACATATTTGAAGCTCTCTAGAGACGACATTTATAGCAGAATACAAAAGTATTGCGTTTCTTATAGTGGTCTTGTTTTCTGAACAACAATGCATATCATACTGTTGTTATAATGAGATCTGAAATTGTAATATAGCACATAATTTTCTTTGTTTTTGGACCAATTAAAGGAGAATCGGGCTCAGGATAGTTCACTTCAGATGCATTTGCACTACGTGAAATAGAGTACATACAAGGCAGCAAACCTGACACTGACTTAACAGCTGTAATGATGGAAGTCAGCATCTCAGCTTTGTCCCAGGAAGCTGACAGGATAAAGAGTGGCTAACGTTCAGCTTCATGATGTACTTGCATTCGTACATTCACCTCCACTGCCTGAAACAAGCTGCTCTAGCACCTCTCCCTTTAAGGTCACCTTGTCCTTAAGCCAGCTTTTTTCCTATTGGCTCCCTCTCACAAACAGAAGGTATGAAGTGGGTGGATAGGGTTTCTGTGTACAAGCCAGGCTATTTGTCTGATATGGCCATATAAGGAAGTCCCGTTTGACATCATAAAGAGCCAGGAGTGTTTACTTGCATATACGCTGACCTTTGGTGACATTTAGCATGAGCAGCCTCCACCATGGCGATTATATTACTGTAAAAGATGTAAGGAGAAGCATTATAGGTGCACTTTAGTCACATGTGAAATACTTTGTATGCCTGTTTTGAAAAATATTTTAGAGATCAAAATTGGACTGCACAGAAACGCAGGAAGTAAACAGGTCTGATCGGAATTTGGGTATGTTTAGTGTATCTTTAGTTTTTTTTAATAGGTGCCTGCTGAATTTGACTATTTCTGCCAAATGCTTCTGTGCAATAGATAATATACTAGATGTCAGGAAGGGTTTGTCGGTATGGATAGTAAACATAAAAAAAAACATGTATACTTTCAAAAAAGAGAGTGAAAAAGGAAGGTTTTAAAAGATGAATGATAATTATTGTATTTAATAGTATTTTCATCAGGCCTGCAGTGGGAATATCTGCAGTAAGCGCAATGCAAAAGCGTTCCTGAAGATGAATTAATAAAAAGAGGGAGGAAAGAATTCCCACATGCCATGCATACTCAGCGTGTGACATATGACCTTACTGAATAATTTGTTAACAAGCTGAAAATCCTTTTTTCTACATATTTCAATTGTATATCACAGATTTTCCATCCATCATGGCGAACTATTTAAACACAAAAAAGTATCACTGCAGCGGCAAGATGATGCAGTAATGCATGAATACATTAGTGGCAAAATGAATGCATCTAATAGTTTTTTTGTGTGTGTCTTTAATGGAAACGATTTAAATAAAAGTAAATAAACTGAACCAGGAAAATTAATGCTATTAAATTTTATACATTAATGACTTTATTTGATTTTTTTTCCCCGGTGGCCTGTGAGGCATAATGAGTCACATATTTATGTTTGATTTTTGGCCCCGGTTTCTCAGAGCTGTCAAGGAGAAAAATCTGCTGGACGAACAGTTGATTTAACTTGACAAGGCTTTAAAAAATGTTTCTCGCACTCCGTTGCATAACAGAGCGCATAAACCGCTGTCCCCGCTCAGTCACGAGGCTTTTCTTTAATCAACTTGACGTCACAAAAATCATGACATGTGTCAGCAAAGCTTTGGCACAGACTGCCTTTGTGCTCGTGCGTGTGGGTTTGTCAGAGTTGAAACGGTCGTATCATGCTTTGAGCTTCTCCGCGGTTCGCAGATTCATCAGCGTGTAGTCTTAATTTAGAATTCTGCGTGTCAAACTTGAGACTGACGCCAAGTAACAACCCCCCCCCCACCCCCGTGCGCCCTCCCCTCCCTGGAATGAATGATGGTATTGTGGCCGGGCGTTGCATACGGAGAGCCGATTGCTGAATCACGAACTGTGAAAGAGGAGACGGGGGAGCCAAATCTGAACGGAACCCGGCGGCACAGATCCGGAGGTTTCAGGGTTTGGGATGGAAAGAAAGCTGAAAGGGGAAGAGAGGAAGGACAGGCAGGTTCAACCCAAACACGCTGTGCAGAGGTAGATGTTAATAAGAGGGAGGGGGAGTGGGGCGTTTTGACTGAGAGAAGATGCTTCTGGTCATAAAATCCTCAAATAAAGACATGCTCACCGTGCTGCCTCACTTTGTGGAGAAAGCTACTTGGACTCGGACGGAGATCTGCCGCATGTAAGTCTTCACAGCAGCACAAACAAGATCATTCTGTATACTAGATCCGTATTAGCAACAATCTGCAAACAGTGGCAGTATAGAATATGTGACCTCTTTTACTTTAAAGTCATGAAAACATTTGTAGGAGAAGCAAGCGGCTTTAAAATCTACATCCTAAGTCTTATTCTGATGGTTGAGAATTGGGTTTTTCTTCGTGCTCAGTCCTTTACCCGGTCACGGTGTGAATTTGTTCAGGGATTCTGTTTTTTTTTTTTGCTAAATCCTCCGTGACTTCGTCTCATTCGTCTTCTACATACAGTTGAAGAGGATTAATGATAGCACGTTGCAGTGGAGCTGAAACAAAAGGCCTTGTGATGGCCCCACTCAGTCATACCAGGCTTTGTGTGTTTTTGGTCAAGAGAGGAATGAGACCGTGGTCGAACAAAGCTACACACTGTTCTGTGTGAGAAAATACGCTGAAGCTCTCCTCCTGCTTAGTGCAGCCTTCATAACAAAGTCATGACCCAGGAGTACTTCATTCAGCACAGGTGGGCCGAGCAGAGGAAGTCTGAACGTTTGAGTGCATGTAGATAGCTGAGTGTGTGTGTGTATGTGTGAGGTGCATAAAGGTCAACAAACCCAATCAAGTGGAGTCTGGTCACCATTACTGTTAAAACTAAGGGCTGTTAAATGTGCTGGATCAGGACTCTGCTGACTTTCAGTCCCAGATGAGCCATCCGTCCTGCTCAGTGATCCAAACAGGACTAAATAAGAGAAGTACCTGCTCACGCTGTGTGCTGTGTCCCGACAGGCCTTTCATACGTTACTGGTGTGTGACTTCAGCTTAAATTTGGCCAAATGTGCAACACAATGGAGTATCTGCACTCACCTGTTTACAGGAGGTACAGCAGGTCAGTCAGTTAAAGCCAAATCATTGGGGTTTTGTTTAGTAAACAGAATCACTTTGGACTTCAGGATTTTGTAATGAAATGAGGACCGTAAGGACATCATTTCAGAGTACAGGATATTGTATAGAGCAAAAAAAGAAGTCTTTTCAGAATAATGGCTCATTGTGTGCACAGTTAGGGTTGAATTTTATGAAGTTTTATTTTTCAGCTTTAACAATTTTAGTTTAACAACCTTATCACCAAACGTTTACATTTATGTTTATATTTTGAAAGTACGCTGACAATTTTTGACATTGTCTTTTCTGATTTATAACTGCTATTTGTTATTCTTACTAAGACAAAGTTTAAAGTGTGTTTTCAAGCTGAACTGCATCGGTTTAAATCAGCTGATGGCGCCGAAGTAATGTCAGAGCTGAATTTTAGAAAATGTTTTCTTGTTTGTTTGTTTTCATTTGATTCTAAAGGCTGTTGGTTTAGTTTAGTTACATCTGCCAGTGAGGCTATGTGATTGTTTGAGGTTGTCAGTCTGTTGTTAGCAAGATTGAAACAGAGGTGGAGTTTGGCCCGGTGTGAGGGGGAATTAACTTTTGGGGTTGGTGTGTTTGCTGCTGTGAATTCAGGAAATTTTGAAAGGATTCTTTTACCATTGTAGACAAAGCCAAAAAAAAACCTTAATTTACGCCATTTTGGACAAAGGTACTGGTCCAGCTGCTCGAACACCGTAGCCCATGCGATGAAGCTCCTGGCGCAGCACGTTTCTGTGCTGATGTTAATGCCCGAGGAGATTTTGAGTCAGCAGACTTTCATGCATCAGGACTCAGTGACCCTGCTCTTCAAGGGTTTGTGGTCTGCCACTTCATTGGCTGAGTTGCTCAACTTACAGTCAGTAGTGGATTAAAAAGAATCCACAAACTGACTTGTTGCAACAGCGGCATCGTGTTACAGTAACACGCTGGAATTCAGTGACCTCTTTAGAACAACCTTTTCTTTTACAAATGTTTGTAAAGGCAGACTGCATGGTTCGCCTGAAGATTTGTTTATATAATACATCTTCACAAATGCATATCAGAGTAAAATATGAGAAACTGTCAGATATCATTTTGTAGTTCTCCAGAAAATAACTGAGTTATCCAAATCGTGACGTCCTTCTGGATCCAGGGTGGGAATTTATGCACACTGTGGAGGGAATTCTCTTCTTCTGCTCTTATTTTGCTGTTTGAATTCACTTTCTTCACTTCGTGATTAAATCCTTCATGATAAAATACTGGAGGAGATGCCATTTTCTTTTTCTATTTCAGTCCATAATAATAATAATAATAATAATAATAATAATAATAATAATAAAGACTGAGAATGGAGTTAAAGTACAACAGATGTGATGTTTTTCAAGGAAGTGAGATTATTTAAACTTATTGCAGCTCAACAGATTTTCCACGAGGCAGTCCGTTCTTTGTGACTTTTAGCTTGGCATACGTGAGCTGGTTAGCTGTGAGCGCTACCATGCAGCCCAACTTGCTGCCATTTGATGAAAGTTCAGTATTTCTTGTGGTTGGATTTTAGGGTATAGAATGACAAATTTGGCTGCTTATGGCCAAAGTGTAGTTGTGTCCAGGCATCAGCATCACTGAATTCCTTTTGCACATCTACTTTTCAGCCTCAGCGAGAGCTTCTTCATGGTCAAAGGAGCCGCCCTCTTCCTCCAGCAAGGTGGCAGCACGCAAGGACCAAAGACCCCGACCCACCACAAACATGCAGGTGGGAACAGAGTCACGCAAAAACACACAAAGCTTTGTGTTTTTTCTCTTTTACCTATGTTCACTGCACAAACAAGACCCCAGACAAAAGCAAATGTGTATTTGCCGAGTCTTTTCTCCGTGTTTGTGGGTTTCGTTTGTGTTTAGTCTGAAGCATCACATAATTCGGTCTGACCCGAAGAGCCCTGCAGTTCAACGGCAGGCTTACATAGACTGTTTCATACAAGAGCACTCAGAGGGCACAACTCCCCCATAAGGCCAAGCGTTATGCTAAAACGTTGATGTTTTTATGATGACGCCAGCATTGTTACTATGGAAATCTAGTGCAGTATATTAATCTTTTTGTGTCATATAATGTTGTATGGAAAAACAACCTTATATTGTTTTAAAGAAAAAACAAAGTAAGTACTGATGTCCCCCAATAAAAAATGAAAGTTTGGTTCAATGGAAAATGAAGCTTTTTCCCAATTCGTGTGGCCCTGACCTTTGACCTATGAACTGCTGCAAGTTCAAAGGTCAGGGCCTTTGACATTTTTCTTGGTCAAAGGCCCTAAAAATGTATTATTTTTATTATCTTTGATTGGAGCAGAATAGGCTGAAACGTTTGGCCTTTATAAACTGTAAAAACTTCAGACTTTAAGCTATAATAATGCGGTTGTCACTGAACCACTTGCTAAACTTTATGGCGTTGTTGTAATGTTGTAGGGTGTGGTATTGAAAATATAAAAGCGGCATTGTACAGCTCTCTGCATGCTCTTTCATGAGATATATTACTCAATACAGTTCCTTTGATAGTTTTTGGGTGGGCGCCACTTTAGCTCAGTGGATGAGCGTGTCCACATGCGGCATGACCAGAGTGTTTTCTCCCTCTCTTTCTCCCCAGTTTTCTGTCTTCACATTGCTATACTATCTAAAAGAGGCAAAAAAAATAGCCTTTAAGGATGATAACATTTGACTGGGCACTAACAATAAGGTTGAGGGGAAATGCTTAGCCAGCCTAGGTACTCATGTCCCCCAAACTGTAGAATATTGTTGTGAAATTTGAAGACGATCCATAAAAACAATCGTGGGTGGCATAAAGTTTTTACTGATTTTCACATTTGGGGTGACCTTTACCTGCTTTAACCAAAGTTAAATCAGCTGTTGTTGGCATCTGCCATCACACAGAATTAGAAAATGATATCTTGAAAACTGTGGATGCTAGACTGCTAACAAACAGACTGACAGACAGACAAGCAAACAGTCGATTACAAACTCCGTCCCTTTCCCTTGATCGGGGAAGAACGATCAAGTCTCAAACTGTGTGCTTGTGCTCATTTCCAGCTTCACCGTTTAATTATTAGACTCACCTAATAATGTCTGCATGCTCCATAGTTCAAAACAATCCTTTATGTAATTTATGTTTAAAATCTTTGGAAATGTGTTTAAAAACGGTTGAAATATGAACCTAACAGACTGAAACTGGTTGCCATTCAGCTCTATCAGTGACTGCCATTCGTGCTTGTCTCTCTGCCAGTCTCTTTCACTAACACTCTTTGTTTTTTTGTGTGTGTGTCTATAAAATTGTGGGCAAGGGCAGGAAAGGTCAAGTCAGTTTGTAAAAACCTCTGCTAAATATTTACTTCAGCACAGCTGGGAGGTTAAACGATTTGGATTTATCTTCATTGTGAGAAATGTGCAAAATTTTCCTCCCACTGAAGAAAACAATAGAAAAAGCTGAATGGTCAGTTTGTAGTTGACCTTCGGAAAGTCCAGAAATCACGTCTCTAAAGCTCATGTCTGATTAAAGTGTATATTATCTATATTGTTAGTGCGATCTTCAGTATGTCTGTCAGCTGATTATTGTTAGTTTCAGTTGTTATATTTTATGCAAATAAACATACAGAAGCATGAAATCCACTTCTTTGCCATGGTAACCAAGCAAAATCCTGTCCATATCAGACGACAACACTGTGACGCTGACCTTCAGCCAGTCTGGCATGCAAAACGCAGTTTAATCAGTTCCCACGTGAGGAAAAATGTGAATTATGTTAAAGGCATTGTTGTTGAATCATTTCACAGTCTCAGTGTTTCACTTTCAGGTGATTTGCCTCAACATCTGCAGGTCATGTTTAAGATTCTCCGGTCTGAAGATCGCATTAAGCTGGTCAGTACAAACATGTTGCCATGTGTTGCTTTGTTTTTGTTGCTGGAAGCATTCATTTCATTTATTTGATTCAGCAAAGATGAAATCAGAGACTTAAAAGTAAAGACCTGCTCCACTAGTTAACTGAGTGTTTTTATAGTAATGTGCAAAAGTCTTGAGCCCAATAACCTGTCTTTATATTTAGCTTCAAAAGTTCTCCAGGCTTTCTGAAGGTCTTTCAAGGGTTATCTTTGGACACTGGCTGCTTTTCCATTCACTTTTAGTCCAGTCATTACACCTGATCATTTTCAGAGAAATCTTTTATAGAAAGTACATAATATGTTCCAATTTGTTTAGAATCTATGCATCTATGAAAAATGTCATGGATAACACAGTTTGACAGGCTTAAATTTGTATGTTTGTGTTAACAAGGTGATTCCCACAGAGCTATTAGCCAAAAACTTGTAGTGTCATGTACTGTTCACTACTGCCTCATTACAAATGGTCTCAGTGGTGGCTGTCAAGAAGCTATTCTTAAGGAAGAGAAACGGTAAAGAACTGGCGTGTAGATCATTGTTGTGATGGCAGATCCATCCATCCATCCATGAAACAAAAAATAATAGAAGAGCAGGAATAGGCCAAACACCTGGGATTGCAAACATATGTAAAAACACAGATGTTGTTCCTGAGCTTGCAAAAAAGTTTCGTTTTTGAAAAGAGCTGGGGTTTTTACCCAATCAAATCTGCAGAATAAATCCAGAATGTGGCCACATTTTATTGTTATCCAGCAGTACTGCTGTAGAGTACAGACGCAGTGTTTTGCAGTCTCTCCTTTTGTCGTGCAGGCTGTGCGGTTAGAAAGCAGCTGGACAGATCGAGTGCGCTATATGGTGGTTATCTACACCACTGGCCACCAAGATACAGAGGAAAACGTCGTCCTGGGAATGGACTTTACAGATAAGGACAGGTAATTAGTCTCTCTGCACGTGCACATTTTACCTGTTTTAATGAGATTTGTTAACCTCATGTTGTTGTGATCTACAGTAAGAATTGCTCTATTGGGATGGTGCTGCCGCTGTGGAGCGATACCAACATACATTTAGATGGAGATGGGTAAGTTTCACTTTGCCACATGCAGAGAACAAAAACACTAATGGATGTTTTCATTCTGATCACTTCAAAATGTGAGACAATGGTTCGAGCCTATTCTTTAGGCTTTAGCGCCCACCAGTGGCAGTGGAGGGAGTTACACAGATATTTTTTTTCCCCTCTGTGTGATAACAGTTCTTGCTGACCTGTTAACATTGTCCCTGCCTCTGTAAGCTGGAGGAATGTTCCACTGTTTGGTGTCCTGAATAGACCCCATGGACGAGCCCTGTCCAGTCTGTGTTTACATCCCCCTCATTACTCTTCACCTCAGTCCAAACTAATCTCCTTCTCCGGCTTTTCTTCTTCTTCACTAGAGGCTTCAGTGTGAGCACAGCAGGGCGGTCACATGTCTTCAAGCCTGTGTCTGTGCAGGCCATGTGGTAAGTTCTTCATGTCTGTCTAGAAGTGGGGTTGTGTTAATACGCCGATACCCAACATTTTTGCCAAAGTGATTGGGAATTGAATTTAAAATCAGTTAAAAATGTGTACATTTGTTTGTGTTAACTTGGAGGATACGGTCCGTGTCTTTGTGCGAGTTGTGAAGGTCTGTTACAGTTGTGCTCAGACATTTACATACACTCATCACAGGCATGGATGTCATGGGAATTTTGGGACTTTTAAGGATTTCTTGGAAATTAGGTGCACACATATCAACAAATATCAAATATAAGCAATGAAGAACTTCAAAGAACTCTGTGAAGATCTAAGAAGGAAAATTGTGAATTTACACAAGTCTGTTGAAGCCATTGTTAAACATCTGCAGATTTTAGGATCATTAGTTCAAACAACTGTACATAAGTACAAGTTATTCAGATGTGGCATTGCTTTGCCGCAGTGTAGAAGAAGACCCAAACTGTCAGATGAGAGGAAATTGATTAGGATGTTCAGGAACAACCCAGGAACCATCAAACCTCAATCTTGCCATGAACACTGCAGCTGTCAACCATGGTGGTGGCAGCATCGTGTTCTGGTCTGCCAGTGCTACTGTTATGTTGCACAGTGTGGATGAAATAATGGAGGAGGAGGACTACCTCCCAATTCCTCAACTTCATTCAAGGTTTAATCAACTTCAATCTTGAATCAGCAGCTAGACATTTGAAACTTAGACACAGTTAGTTAGGTGTTATAACAGGATAATGATTCAAAACACAGCTCAAAACTGGTTTTGGAATGAAGAAAGCAGCGGATTACGCTTAAAACCGACCAATTTAAATGAACCAATTCTTGTACGTCTTGATGGTCAAATATTCACTCAGAATTATGTCAGAAGCTTTTTGATGGCTACCAAAATCTTCTGGATACATCTTGTTTAGATACTTTACCTTTTATATATTTGAGTCTGTTTTCCACTGATGACACTCCTACCACACTCTGTGTATGTGAGCGTTCACATGCCACCTTCTGGTCAGCTGACAAAATTACCAATAATGTGCAGGTTTCCCTTCTGTTCAATGGCGAGATCTTTAGCAGTTAAAAGTTTGCATCATGTTCCTGCAGGTCAGCCCTGCAGGTCCTCCATAAGGCATGCGAGGTGTCCCGCCGGTTCAACTACTTCCCAGGGGGCATTGCTCTCACATGGATGGCCTTCTACGAGAGCTGCATCACCTCCGAGCAAAGCTGCATCAATGAGTGGAATGCTATGACCGACCTGGAGAGCACCCGGTCTGATTCTCCCACCATGTTCGTCGACCAGTGAGTACCCAGCATAGCAACTCACCTCATGCAATGAAGGAAAAACGGGCACATCTTTTAAGTCATGCAGTACTAATTAATTATCCTGTATTTTTCAAAGAAGATTTAAACAGACCTCATGCAGCCAAACAGATCATAGATCAAACATGCCTGCGCCGTGTGTCTTTAGTCTGAAATTTATATGCTTTGGACAAGAGCTGCTGTTCTTCTGTTTCTGGCCTTTGTCTTCATCAGTGGGAAACACTGTTATGCAAATTTTCATTCAGACCACAGCACTGATGCATTGACTCATTATGTGCAGGCCAACTGAGCGAGAGAGAACTGAATGTGCCATTAAAGCCAAACTACGCAACATCATGATGTTTCAAGACTTGGAAAACATCACCTCAAAGGAGGTACGTGCCGAATCAGTATTTGTCATTCAACGGGCAAGGAATGGTCTAAATTTTATTTTATTTTCACGTTTTAGGAAAGAATACACTAATTAAAGATTCAAATTAGCTGTCTATAAAAGTTTAAGTGTGTTTTCCTCAATAACTAGTCACTGCCGATCTTTGTTTTTATGCATTCAGGCAAAAGGCCTTATTTTAATCTCTTCAGCACAAAACAAGTTTTTTGTTTGTTTTTTTGCATTTTTGCTAAATAAAAATTAAAAAACTATTTTCCCAGAGCAGGCAGCACCACATGTTTTATTTGTCAGATTTTTACACTTTTACACTTTTTACACTAAGGGATTTGCCTCCTGGGATGAACCAGGGACCTTTTGTTTGTAGAACCTTTACAATATTAAATAAAGGTACCAATGCTTAACCTGTGGTTGGTAATGCATTTGGAAACCATGTTTTTAAGAAAGTGGGGGTTCATGTTAATTCCTCATCCTCAGATCCGTAACGAGCTGGAGCAGCATATGAACTGTAACCTCAAAGAATACAAGGAGTTTATAGACAACGAGATGCTTTTGATCCTGGGTCAGATGGACAAGGCTACACTTATCTTTGACCATGTCTATTTGGTGAGTTGTTTGCATCTTGTAGTATAATTTAGAATTCTGTATACCCGCCCTCCACACTGATAGCCAAATACTCTTTCACTGTGGTATATAGTTGGTTTAAATACAGTTATTCTGTGTAAGTTTCGGCCTTTCTTCCTCTCTAGGGCTCTGAGTGGAACGCTTCCAACCTGGAAGAGCTACGTGAGTGTGGGTGAGCTGAGAGCTTAACACTAACCAAAGAATCTAACCTATTTTTCTTGGTTTAATCCCACTTGTCTAATTCTCATTTATGTGTCTCTTGTTATTCCTATAGACATATAATTGAAAAGTCTGTTAAAATCAGAGCAAATTTAAGTGCTTGACTTAACTTTGTGCTTGAAGTTAAGTATGAAAATATGCAGAGCTTTAGTAATAACCATAGATTGCATATAGATTATGAATATTGGCGTCATGCATTACTTAATGTAGTTTGGATTTGAGCTTTGTGGCCATGGCTGTCTTGGTGTTTAAAGACCAAACATCACAAGTGAGGCCAGGATCTGGCTGAGAAACTGAAGGAGAGTTCTCTTGTGGTAGAGATCTGTCAGTCACAAGGGTGCTATACCCTACAGCTTACTGTTATTTCTCTACATTGCACCACAATTTACACAATTAACATGTTGTATTCAGTAAGAATTTAGACCCATCAGGAAAGTGTTTACTGATATCATACATTAACAGAGTAAAAGACCTCCCTTGTAGCCCATAGAAAATACAGCATGACTACTTTTTGCAACCAGAGGAGGCACCTCCTGCTGGCCAATAGCAAGTAATGCAGGTTTATAGCATTTGTATCTGACCTGAAGGCTACATCCAGTTTTTATATCCAGTCTATATGAACAATATGGTTCATGCTCAAACACCACATAGAAAAATAACTGCTCAAAGAAGAAAGTGCAAGAAGAAGAAAGAGAGAAGCTGCATGACTTTGGACACACGAAAGACTTTTTCTAAGTAGAATGGAGCCTTTTTGTCAAATCTAATCTTTGCTATTTGTCACAGCAAATCAAGACCTGGTTGTGGGTGAGCTCTTTCAGGACTCACTGATCTTTTTTGTTTTGTTTTTTCCTACTATGATAAAGGTCTGTGGGCAGAGGAGTAAATATTAACATGATGGGTTTTTTTGCAGAGTGGGTTTTATTCTGAACGTTACCAGAGAGATCGACAACTTTTTCCCAGGCTTGTTTTCTTACCACAATGTCCGAGTGTACGACGAGGACGCCACTGACCTGCTGGCCCACTGGAATGACACTTACAACTTTATCGTCAAAGCCAAGTGAGAGCAAAACAAACCAGTCATCTTGGGGGTGGGAGGGGGCTTGCTACTGTTGTCTAGATTCATAAAATGGGGTGAGAGTGATTTTTCTTTTCTCTTGATCCAATAGGAAGAATAATTCCAAGTGCCTGGTGCACTGTAAGATGGGGGTGAGCCGGTCTGCCTCTACTGTTATTGCCTATGCAATGAAGGAGTATGGCTGGTCTCTGGAGAAAGCCTACAACTTTGTCAAGCAGAAACGGAGTATAGCTCAGCCAAACGCCGGCTTCATGAGACAGCTGGCAGAGTATGAGGGAATTCTAGATGCCAGGTAAGCAGGTCTATGCTTTCACTAAGGTTTGCACTTTGCAGAGCCAACAGATGGAACCACTGTGTTTCATGAAGCTAATTAAGAGATTATAACTCTGTGTGGTTTTAGTTATTCTAGTCACATTTAAAGCCTAATTCACCTTTGCAGCAAACAGCGTCACAACAAGCTATGGAGGCCTGGAGCAGATGAGGAGGGATCGGATGATTTGCAAGCCTCAGGCCATTGTGCCGGTGGAGGGGAAACACTCAGAGAAGAGGAAGCCTGGGGAGGCTGCGGGGCATCTCCCTGTAGGGGTATGGGTCTGGAGATGGAACCTCTAGACTCTCTTAACTATAATTATTACTTTAGACGTTTGTCAGACTCCGCACTTGACAGTGAGCCTTCCACTCCAGTTCGGGGACCCCCTCTGCTCGGTATGGAAAGAGTTTTTATTGAGATTGAAGATGTAGAGAGAGATGCCCTGCTGGAGGACGAGGGTTTCCCCATGGCCCATTTAGCCCTGCCTGGTGAGGGCACCGCAGCCCAGACCTGTGGACGCCTTGATCCCCTCGAGGACATGAGGCTGAGGCTCGAGTTCAGTACTTTGGAAGAAGAGGATGAAGAAGAAGCTAAGAAAGAGGAAGCTGAGATGGCAGCTTTGGCTCAAATGCCTGGAAATTCAGAGGGGAAGAAAATGGGGGAGGAGGATGAGAGGAGCGAGGAAAGCCGGTTAGGGTTAGCCAACCTGAACACCAACAACAGTAACCGCCTAGCAGCCAAGCGCAGCTGTCCTGCAGCTTTTGATGTGAGTTTTAAAAAAAAAAACATTTTTAGTTGAAAGATAAAGTCTTTAAGTTGCAATTTTAAACATCTATTTGTCGTAGAGGTAAATGTTGTAAAGTGAACATATTTAGTTTTCATGTGACTGACCATATGCTGCATTTTGTTCAATTTTTCTCCATTTAGGACAGTGGTAGCACAGGAAACCCTTTAAAAGTGAAGCCCTCCTATCAGTCCTGTAAGGACTGCATGCGTCTACCGCAAGGGCGGCGCTGTGACCGTCCAACAGGAGGCCGTCCCCACCGCCTTAACCCTTCCCGCCACTGCACTGTCCCTTCCATATGCATAGATCCGCCTGGAACGAATTTTGCTTCCACATCGAGTCTGCAGTCTCTTTCCAGCCCTGCAGTTGTACCACCTAACTTGATCCAGCCCTCTACTCAACTGTACCGCTGTTCCACCTGTGCCCCTGACGTCACAGCTGTTCCCCTAACCAACCACCAGAAACTGGCCTCACCCATGAACTGTGAGGAGGCGCCTCCTGACCGCAGCTCAGTGGAAACGGAGGACATGGATGAACCGCAGGGTGAACAAGTGTTAAGGGAGTGTACTGACGCCATCAGTGACGCTGAAGATTTAAAATTACAACCTGGTGGAGCAGTAGAGCTCCCGCAGCTGCAAATGCCAGGACTGGGGATAGAATTTGGTCTGGAACTGATGCGACAGAGGGCAGAGCAGCTTGAGAAGCTGCCAAGCATGGCCATGGAGGCCAGCTCTCAGTAGGACACCTGCCTTAACACGGTGGCTCAAGCAAAGATGAGATGGGGGGGGATGAGAAGTGGCTTGCCACTGTCTCAGTCTCTTTAATGGCTTTGAGAAGTTAAAACCTGCTGCTGTGGTACCACGAACAAAGCACTGTGCTGATCTCCACTCTAATGTCTCGGCTCCATTTAAACAAGCTGCAGAAGCTCAGTGCATTGACAGAGAGAGCTCCGTCGTAGACTTCCGGCATTGAGATCCAGATGAGGCCGATTGCTTTCACTATGTGCTTAAGGCCTGGATGCTTCAGATCGAGCCAGGGTGGAAGACTTTCCCGTGTGTTTGAGGCCGCCGTGGGCTATTCGAACTGCCTTTCTCACCACACGTGCAGGATCATCCCCTTTTCCCACTCCCCAGCCGAGACGAGCATTACGCCGCCATGTTGCCATCAGAAGACAAGTTTCAGTGCAGCAGTGGCAGTTCGTAACATCTAGTTGTGGTTCCTTTATGACTCCTCAGAGTGCTTTATTTAAATGTCGATGAAAAGAAAAATACAGAAGTAGCACGCTTCTGTCAGTGTACTCTGTTTCCAGTATTCATGGAGGAGCTCAATAAGTAATTATAGCTGAGCCACTGTTTCCTCATATTACTACAGATAACTGAACCATCACTGAGCTTAACTTATATTTTACCTGCTGCAGCTGCTTTTGCATCGTGAGAGAACATTTCATGTGAAAGCATACTAGTTTATATGAAAGAAAAAAAAGTGGATGTGACCGTAGCCTTTTTAATGCCTCTTTGTGAAGCACCGTACCTCGGGCCAGGAGCGTCTCAGACTGTTTTTGGTCAAAGACTGTTTTGTTCTTTCTGCTCAGCGGCTACTTCACCCTGACCTCCTCCAATAAAGTTAATCTAATCATGTACTGAAAGCGCTTAGTTTAGTCCACGCATGACTTTGCAGTATTACATAACATATCTCCAACACATTTACACACAAATGTATCGAACAACAACAAACTTCTACTTGAGTTTTTTAGCATTTGATTTTCTAATAATTGGTTACATTGTAAGTAACAACAAAAAAAGGTGCATTCGTTTTTCAAGTGGATGTTGAATTGATTCAGCCTAACCTGATCAATCATCTTATGCATAAGAGAATGACAGAAGATTGAAAGGCATTTAGACCCCGAGCAACAACCAGATCATTTCTGATGTAACCAAAGCTGTAACATGCACGGACACTCGGATTGCATCCACAGATATTTTTAAATTCACACAAATCACATATACAGTAGATTATGCAGTTGAGCACAACTCTAGTATCCATTCACACCATGCACAGTCATATTTCTGATCTATTTCAGTACATTAACCCTAAATAATTTGAAGCAAACGAAAACAGACCAGGAAATCCAAAATATATATTTTTTAATCTCTTGAAAGTTTAAGGGATTAGTTGCGTTTGTTCGCCGTGTCAAGTGGAGCCCATCCCTGTGTAATGTATAACTTATTTGCTCTAATGATAACATTTGATCCACGTGTCAACTGGTTATGCTGTAAAAATTTGTTCATAATATACTGTGAAATGGAAAAAAGTAACTCCAGTCACTCTTATATGAAAATCAGATGATATTTATAACTTATTGTACTGGATTTCCTTTATTTTAAATGCAGAGAAGGTAATCTATGACATCAAGATGATTGCAAAGCTTAGCACATGCAGGTTTACACACATGAGTCCCAGGCAGTTATTTCAGAACTTTTTCTCATTTTTTTATTTATACTTTCTTTCTTTCTTTTTTTGTTCTTTTTTTTTTTACAGTGTCGCATAGCCTAAGGCTTCTTCTGGTTTTTTTTTTTTAAAGCTGTTTCCTAAGTGGTGTGCCACAAATCCAAAGTTGCTGTGCCACAAGGTTTATTCTCTGTAAAATTCTCTGTTTGATTGCTCTTGTGTCGATTCCCTTACTGGCGCGCTGGGTGTGCTGCTAAAGGATGCCTGTTTGTCTGCAGAGAAAGCGTGTGCACGATGTATTACTGTGTTTAGCACTTAAGAAAAATGAAAACTGTGCAAAGAACGAATGCAAATCATTTGGTTATCTTCAACTGTGCATTTATTCTTTATTTTTGTGGAAATTTGGTTTGTTTTTAATTCGATAAGTATGAACAACAGTGCAACCTCTGTTCCTTTTTCTCCCCGGACTAACTGAATCAGAGGGAGCTGCAGGTTTGCTCCACTAATTAGATTAAAATATTTTGGTGCTCAATTTAAGCTGGTCTTTTCCTTCACATGGCCATTTGAGTGTTACGTAACACAAGATGATTGAAAGAGCTTGCAACTGAACAACTTCAAACTGAAAAGAGTTTGAATTCAGAAATTGTAACAAGTGATGAACTTGCAAAGGTTTGTGAAAGACAGATTAAGGAAATATTATATGGAGCTAAAAAAACTGGTATGCTTTAATGTAAGTATGAAGCTATAGCCATTATCCAGTTAGCTTAGGTTAGTGTGATGACTGGAAGCAGAAACTAAGTTTATGGGTCTCTGTGTAATCCACCAATTTATTTCACTACTTGACATATTATCTTACTTAAAAAATGTGAAAAATCTTCTTTTTTTGTTTGTTTTTGTTGTTTTTAGTTTTCATGCTACGCTAACTAGCTTCTGACTATACCAATCAAATGCCAAGGTGGTGTTGATTTTGTCGAAGTAAGCATACTTTATCAAATTTCAAACTCTTTCTTTAATGTATTAAAGGTGGGATTCCACGTTAAGCCAGTTTTTAGCATTTTAAAGCTCTTGGCACATGGACCTGATTAAGGTTGACAAAATTCCTGCATCCCTGCACCACAGCACTATGTTTGGCTGGTTTTGTCCCTTTTTTTCTATTTAAGTGCCTTAACCTCAGCCTTAGCTCTAACATAAAGCATCACAGGCTTTGCAAATTTTCTGTGAGTGTGTTGATGGTCTGGCTTTTTGTACATTACTTAACCTCACTCCCAATAATAACCATTACCCTTTGCAATGTATAACTTAGCACATATTATAATGTATGCAAACACACTCGGGCTCATTTACAGCAGCATCTTCTCCCTCAACGCACTTGGTGGACTTCCATTTATTAATAGCCTCCAATAATGATGTAATTGTTTGATATTGTTGAGACTTGTGGTACATTGTATTGGTTCAATAGCTGAAGAACCTTATTTGCTGGAATGAGAACTATCATTTACATTAAACTGTTAGATAGGATGAATTTATCTTTGAAATTTACCAGTCTGTACATATTTTTCTCTACAATTTGCTATTTGAGTATATTAGCTTGCAGACATGGTCAATATTTAAGAAGAAAGTATTAAAAATGCTACTGTGTATTGATAAGTACTCATAATTAAGTTCTCGTGTTTGTACCACGCAAAATATTTTATATAATCTCTAATTTAGGCAGTTTTCAGGCTCTATGGAAAATGGCTGTGTTTGTTTTATTGCATTAGTCCCAGGCATCAGGCCTCAAAATGACAATCCCACTGAAGAGCCAAGCACTGAGGACGTTAAAAACACATTGTAATGTAGGGAGGGGGGGTTATTTGAGGTATTTGAGTGTATTTATAGAGCACAAGTCAGCCCCAAAGCACGTGAGCTTGAGTGGAAGATGTAAATAAGTAAAAACCTCCCTGAGAGTAAGATTTTGTTACGTTTGATGCTTTTTGTTAACTTTTGTGTACTGTACATTGCCAATGTTCATGTGTATGCACTTTTTTTACATTTTGTTAATATGTTGTCCAGTCTAATGTTTATCATGGAAATAAACTATTTCCTCTGCATTATCTGTGTAATCAGTTGGATTTGGCATGCATCCAGTGTAGACAACACACACTAGACTAAAGAACAACTCAGTTTAAAATTTTAGCAATGCGTGTCATCATTTGTGTAAACATATAGACTCAACAGCCACTTTGTTAGTTACATCCTTTCAGCTGCTTGTTAACACAAATATAATCAGCCAGTCACATGGCAGCAACTCTGCATATTTAGGTGTGAAGACATGCTTACGATTACCTGTTGCAGTTCAAACCAAGTATGAGAATAGTGGAAAAAAGGTGATTTAAGTGACTTTGGATGTGGCATGCTAGTTAGTGCCAGACAGGCTCGTCTGAATGTTTCAGAAACTGCTGATCTACTGGGATTTTCCCACATAATCATCTCCAGTGTTTACAGAGAATGGTCTGGGGGGGGAAAAAGAAAATATCCAGTGAGCAGCAGTTCTCTGGGAAAATGGAGTCTTGATTTCTGCTGTAACATTTGAGTGATAGGGTGAGAATTAGGTGTAAACAAGATGAAAGCATGGATCCATCCTGCCTTGTATTAATGATTCAGGTGGCTGTTGGTGGTGTAATGGTGTAGGGGATCATTTCTTGGCACTATTTGTACTCCTTACTATCAATTGAGTATCATTTAAGCACCATAGACTACCTGAGTATTGTTCCTGACCATTTCCATCCTTTTATGACATCTTCTGATGGCTGCTTCTAACAGGATAGCACACCCTGTCGCAGAGCTTAAATCATCTCATACTGGTTTCTTGTACAAATGGCTTCCACACCTTTGGGTGTGGTGGAACAGGAGGTCTCATCTATGATCTGCAGCATCTGCGCTATCATGTCAACATGGACCAAAATCTCTGAGGAATGTTTCCAACATCTTGTTGATTCTTTGCAATGAAAAAATAAGTCTGTTTTGATGGGAGTTCAACCTGGTACTAGTAAGGTGTACCTATAGTGGAAAAAAAAAAAAATTTTTTTCTTTAGATGCAGTCTAGTTATGTTGGTACGTTACTACTAAAGAGAATGTAAGGGAAATGAAGCAAATCTGACCAGCAAATCTTCTGGTCTTGTCTTTCTCTTTTAGTCAAATGGACAGAGCAGAAAGCACCCTTATTGAATTAGTCAAATGAAGACGGTGTGACATCACAGGGCAGGTGACTGCTGGAGGAGCAAAAAGTCCAAAGTCCTACGGGCATGCGAAGCATCTGTTTGAAACATCACCCTCAGTAAGTAGCTTCCTCTTTCCATCTGCTTTCTGTAAACATTTTTAGTGTTTTCATGTCAGTGGTGCTTAGATAACATTCAAAACTATGGACAGTTAATTACTCGAGGGGAATTCAGAATAGTTTCAGAAAGTATTCATTAACAGTAAAGACTACAATAGAAAGCTAGTAGAAAAATGTATGTAACTGCCTCAAGACATTTAACAACATAAGAATTTTCATTCAAGCTTTGAAAAGCTCCATTGCTGTATCACCATCTACTATCATTAGATGTTTAATATGGATATGTAATTATATAATTACATATGTATGGTAGATGTTTAATGAAAATGTTTTTCAAGTTTAAGAAACACCTTATTGGAGCGTTTAGTTTATTTAAATCCATCATGCCACCTTTAAAATTGAAGGCCATTTACCTTTTTATGACCAGCCGTACAGAAAGCTATGGAAATTTTACTGTCAGACTAGATAATGCATCTGAATATCATCCCGTTGTACTGACAGTCTGAATTTGAATTTGAGCTTGTTACTTTGTGAGTTAACACTCTAAAGGAACAGTAATGTAGTTTTAACTGGAAAAACAAAGCCTATGCAGAGACCAGGCTAATAGTTTGGGTGCTCCAAGTCACAAGTCTCTTATAAACCGTGTGCCTACTATTGAAAGCATGACAGACACATGAATGGGAAATGAAGAGGGGGTGGGGGTTTAAAAGTCAGTGTCACAGATGCCTCCGCCGGCTGCCCTTGTAACACAGCCATCCCAAAATAACACTTTAACACTTTAGATACAGTAAAGCTGCAAGTCGAGCTGTTTTTAGCCGCATAACAGATAACCAGAGCTGGAGAAATAACGATGAATGATGAATTACATCCTACCTTCCCATCAGACACTCACAGTATTATTAAGAGCATTATTTATTTAGTTTTAGACACGTATTTAAACATATTTTTGGATGAACCACCTTCCTATCACTTTAGCATCACTTTATTTAACAGAATAATATATTTTTACATTCAAACAAACATAATTTTTTTTTAATTGGTAAAGATTCGACACAATCTTTATCTTATGTGAAGGGAGCTAAAACAGGGGTCAAGGTTCAAAGATAACAGTTCTGTTTTTATCTTATTAGGTAGGTAGACAAGCTTAAAAGAAGTGATGAGCCACTTGGTGCTCCTCAGGCGTGAAATGGCTGAAGCAGAAGTACATTAATTCCAAATCCTGAAGAGGTTCGGTCAGTTTCCTCACTCCTTTTTCAGCCAGCAAAATCCGTATTACTATGGCGATTACTCAGTGAGAAAACTTCTCATGCGGCAGCTCATGATTTGGTGTTTGAAATGAAGTCTGTGTGTGCACAAAACTACCTCATGCAACAATACACTCTCCTTGCTTTGCACTTGGTTTGCCTGAAAGCTAAGAATACCGATTCCACATAACACTGAAGCCCGTTAAGCTGTTTTCCCCTTTGTAATAATGGACCTTACACCATCCATCATCATGTCTGTGGTTAAACTCTGTTCTCATCAGATCCTGGACAAACGATTCCAGCTGACCTTTCTCTAAACCCCGTCACCAAAACAATCACAAACATTTACAGACAGACTGAAGGCAGGCAGGCACGCACAGCACAAACACGCCTTGTCTCAGAAGCAGTAATTGACAGCGCATGACGCCTCACAAAGGCACAAGCTTGACTAAAATGTATTTTCTTGCACTCACAAATTATACAAAACA